GTTGCCTGGGAGAAGAGACCAACCCCCACCTGACTCCAACCTCCTGTCAGGGAGTTGCAGAGGGTGAGAAGGTCTCCCCTGAGCCTCCTCTTCTCCAGGCTGAACACCCCCAGCTCCCTCAGCCTCTCCTCATAATGGCATGGTTTGGGGCCAATTAGCCCTTTTCCATTGACCCACAGCAGAGACAATGCAGAGTGGCCCATGAGCCCTACTTGATGGCAGGATTGGCCTCTCCTTTTTCCTCCCAGTTGTCCCTGTCCATTCCTCTCATGCAACAGGAGGATGGTTCATTGCCCCAGAGCCATCAAGCCACTAACACCTATTTAATGCCACAAATGAAGAGCGTGGGCCAAGAAGTGTGCCACTGGCCAGTCCTTGTCCCTGTCCGGCCTCCAACTCTCACCACAGCAGCCAACCATCTGCAGAGCAATGTGGAGCTCCCACCTCATGTCTGACTCATGCCATCCTTTCGTCGGAGCAAGAGTCTGATGTCATGGGGAGGAGGAGGGACTGAGCTCTCTCCTGCCTCCCTCCACCTCAGGCAACTCCCTCCCTTGGATTTCTTTCCCCTCATCTCATGCACTGCTGGGCACACAGTAAAAGCCCTGAAATTGCTCCCCTGCTCCTTCAGGCATTGGAATAGGTTGCCCAGGGAGGTGGTGGAGTCACCATCCCTAGAAATGTTTTAGAGGTGGTGCTGGAATATATGGTTTAGGGGTTACAGCAGTCACAGGTTAACGGTTGGCCTTGCTAACCTTTAAGATTACCATGGGAGATGACCTTGACAAAGATAACCTTTAAGATTACCATGGGAGATGATCATAGAATCATCTTCCAGCGTTGGTGATTGTACAGTTCAGAAGGGAACACTTACCACATCCCGTCTGGGTCCGCCACTCTCCCACCGAGATGCCCAGGGCCTGGCACACCGCGGCGTACGCCTGGATGGCCTGGCAGAGTCCAGTGCCGTTGTCCCACGCGCTGCAGAGGTCGTAGACACAGCTGTGGACGAAGGCAGTGGGGTCCACCACAGCACCACACTCCCACAGAGGCCCACCAGTCTTGTTGATGAACCCACAGTACTCAGAGGTGAAGTAGAGAGACTCGGTGGCGGCGTCGCAGAGGCTGCAGTTTTCCAAGCAGCCGGTGGAGCATCTCCTCTCAGGATGTGGCACTTGCCAGCTCTCACCCAGCTCTGGCACAGTCATGGCCAACCTCCCATCCGAGCGCAGGATATCATCCTCGGGGTCCTTGTTGTAGTTTCCACACAGCCCACACGTGGCGTTGATGTACGAGCCCGGAACGGAGACGGAGGCATAGTGTTGTCCATCATAGGTCACCATCAGGCCAAAGTCAGTTTCCAGCGCGGTGGACAAGCCGCTTTGGTAGACTTTGACTGCACCCAGATCCAGAGAGATGGGCAGGGACACCACCAGGTCATCCACCTGTGGGAGCAACACCAGACAACTGAGCCAGCGCATGAAAGAGCAGAGACCTCGTTTTTCACCGAGCATTTTCCACCGAGCCTGTCACCCATGCACATTCCCAAACACACACGAGGCCCAGAAGTACCATCCCATGCTCTCCAAGCTAATATCACTGTCTTGCTGCTGCCTCAGAGGAGCTGACCCAGCAAGTTCTCCCCTTTCAGCAGAGCTCTTACCTTTGCCTTCCCATAGCTGCCCTTGGGGAGAACAATCTTGTGCGAGTAGACCTCCACAAAAATATCCCTCAGCCAGGAGACGGAGGAGCCGCCTCGGTTCTCATTCTTGGCCTCCACGTTGAAGTAGGGCAGCTGGGAGCCTGGCCAGCACTGCCTGGCGAGGAGGTAGGAGCAGGAACCCTGGAAGTGAAAGAGGAAGCCGTCGAAGGTGTGGTAATGAGGATCTCCAAACACCACGCAGGTGCTGCTCTCCACCGGCACGCACTGGAAGAACTTGGTCTTCGGCTCACACGCTTCAAAGGGGCCACAAGCCATCTCCTGGCAGAGGATCTCATTGTTGAAGTCCAGGCAGCGACATTTGGTGGTGCAGTTGACGTTGTCCCAAAAGATCTCCCCTTGACGGAGAAACTGTCCTAGAAAGACAGGAAGGGGAAAACTCAGGCTACATCACTTCTCTCAACAGAGGAACACACTCTAAGTGCACCATGTTAGTCCTCAGAAGAGCCTCCTGGCCCTGTGATCAAAACCACCACCAATGTGTCTTGCTGCTGGGCTTCTTGGCTGCTTTCTTTGTGCATAGACCCAGCAAGGGCCACTCAGCAAAGCACTGTGATCCAGAGCTTCATTTTCACTGTCCTACCCATGCCACAAGTCCATGGAATGCTGCAAGCACTGTCCCAAACCCTGGATCAGTGCTGTAACACACAGGCTGGCAAACCTGAAGGCTGTTCCATACATTGTGGACACTCACCACTCTCATTCTGCTTCAGCACTGCAGGACACAAGAGCCATTTGTGCTATCTTCCCAAAGGGAAAGTCCACTGATGCATTTTGGAGGTCATTTCCAGCACTGTTGCTGCACTTGTGCTGTCCTTTAGCATTTTGCACCTCCATCATTCCCCTGTTCATATAACTTAGCTGGTCAAAAAGCGACTCTGCAGCCCAGGAGTAATTTACTCCCATTCAGAAAGAGCTTGTAGTAGTTATGAAATCAAAGAGCTGTTGATAAATGACTTCCACACCACACACCAACCACAACGGGAGCGATGAGTGATCAGCCCCAGACTGAGCAGACGTGTTACACTGTGGCACTATTAAAGGGAGGCAGGTTTGCCTGGTGAGAGACATCAGAGGGAGAGAGAAGAGACAGAACAAGGGTGGCAAGTAGCAGTGAGAGCTCCTCTCTCCTCCATCTGGCCATTTTTCACACTTCTGAGGCATGTGGCTTCTGCCATGCACTGCCTGGATTCACCTCTCCTAAACTTTTTGTTCTCTTCTCTGCCTCCTCCTCCAGTAAAACAAACCTATTTTCCTCTTACCTACAACAAAACCCATCTCCTCTTAGCACATATCAACCATCCTGCATGGGGAATTTGGGCAAAGAAGAGTCATTAGGCACCAGCATCTCTTATCATAGGTGGCAATCAGTCATCCACCATGAAGTTTAAATCCAGTGGCATGATCTACCCACACTCCCCTTGTCACCTGCAAAACTGAGACTGGCTTACACCTCCTTGCCAAAGCCCAGCTTTTCTTCCTGGGATTGGCAGCTGAGGAGCAGTTGGGCATGAAAACTCTGCTGGGGCTGCAAGAGCCTTGGAGTCTGGTTGACCTTCTTCAGTACAGTCCCAAACCAGGGCATAAAGAAGTCAGATACCTCCAGTGTCTGTCAGCAGGTGACAATCCCCTCTTGCTAGAAAGATTCCTGGAGCACTGTGGATGCTCCTGACAGTTTTATTTGTCAAGAGGTAATGCAATAATCTCTCTGCAGCAGAGTCCCTGTGTGCATTGATTGATCCCTTTACAGCTCCATGCTGTCACAGCCACTGCAGCTAGTGCAGGGACATGTTATTTGTCCTGCCTGGAAAACCTCTTATTCCTCTTACATAAACAAGCAAAATGGGGCCACACCATCAGCTTTCCTACCCTGAAGGCAAGAGGAGATTGCTGTCCCCAGGTCTTTCTCCTTGCCACCAATTATCCCCGAAATTCAGGCGCAGCAACTCGGAGATGTGCAGGGACTGAACCCACTCTGATATTTCTGTCCCCACAGCTGCAGCTCGAGGGGATGCCTTGGCATAAACACAGACCATGCAGCAGCTCAGAGTCTCCATCAGCACCCCAACAGCCTCAGCACTGTGTGCCAGAATGTGGAAACAAGCGGTGCTGTTTCCCCCTTACCTCTCAGGCTGCAGCCATTGGCAGGATCTATTTCTTTGCCATCTATTTTGAAAGCCCAGCGCCCAGGGAGGTTAACATTGGTTGTTTCTTCAATATTGACTATGTCTGGGGTCCTGGAGCCTGGCATGCTGAAGTAGTTGGTGAGATTTCCACCATTGAATCCAGCCTAAACCAGAGAGAGAGCAAATTCCATCACCCATCTTGGCTATGGGAAAGTGATGCTGCAATTCCTCACTTTTCTGTCCCCTCCTGAGAATATCTTCTTTAATTTTAATGTCTCTTTTCAGAGATTTCAGTTTTCAAGCAGTTTGGATGTGAGTGAAAAGCTAAAGAGGCACTACAAGCAGTGTGGATCTATCTTTACAGATTTATGTACATACAGATAAATCTAAGGGTGTTTGGTATGGAGTGGCCAAGATAAAGTGAGGAAGCAACAGAGGGAAACTCCCCTTATGCAGGAACCTTCTCCCCTTGGACAAATGGACTGGCTGTGGCACAACTAACACCAAATTCTGGAGTGCTCATCCCACTGTGCCCAGCTGTGGGATACAAGGCCAGTGCTAGGGATGCTGAGTGAGCTTGGACGTGCTGGGAAAGGTATAGTCATCCAAGAGCTCAACAGAGATGGAGATATGGGAGCAGGAGACTCACCTGGGCCATCACCCCACCGAGACCAGTTAGGGGATCTCCTCCACTGGCTGTCCCTGTGGTCCAGTTGATTTCATGGTAATTAAATAAGGCAAAAGATGACACTCCATCTGTGATCAGGACAGCCTGGAAAGTGTTCACCTGTGGAAAACCACGAGCACATTCACAAGGTGGTACTGCTGTACTCATGATGTTTGCCTGTATTTCTTCCCCCAGTGCATGTCTCTGGGCTGGGTGAGATGCAGGAGCAGAAGCTGAGTTAGACTCAAAATATGCTCGTGCTTGCTGCCACATCTCCCACCCTTGCCTGGGAGAACACAACCATCTCCACTCCAAGGGAACACCAATAGATGGCAGCATGAGAATAAGCTCAGAGGGAAGGAGCAATGGGCAGGATTTGGGTGGTTACGATCTGTGACTTCCATCACCCTCTCTTAGCTTTATTCCTCTCTCTGCATTCCCTCTCCTGGTTCCCTTCCACATTCATATCCCACAATACTGCTAAGCGTGGATTACATCCAACTCAGCCATGTATATCAAGCACTTTGCTTGGCTGCCAAACCCTCTCACTACCTGCTAAATCTGTTGCTCATGTTCTTCCTTTCCCTTGAAATGACTTTGCATTTCCAGCCCCCCCAAACTCCAGCCAGGTTCCAGGTGGGAAGGGCACTCTTTGCCAGCTGGTGGCATAATCCCCATCTTCCCTTTTATGGCTGTGCAGAAAGACAGAAGAAACCTCTTCCTTTGATATAGCCCCTCTATCCATGCAGATCCAGCAGCACAAGACGTCACTGGGAGCAAAGTCAACCACTTCTTTCAGCTTTCTGCATTTTCCTGCCCTTCCCATCCCTGCCCAGCCTAGACCACTGTGCTGGGACTGCACAAAGCTGCCCCTCCTTTAGTTAATCCCTTGCATGCCACAGGGATGTCACTTCCAAGGCACTTAGGCTCCTGCCATGAGAAATGTGGAGCAGGGAGGAGCTGTCAGGAGAATGAGAGGTGTGGGCAGAACTGCCTCAGAGCAGCTGCAAATGGCACAGTTCACACCAGGGCAAGCAGGGAGATAGCAGAGAGCCACCACTTCCACTCCTGCCTCCTCCTCCTTTCCCTGGGGTTCTGCCTCATACTTCTGGTTTCCTCTTCACCACCTCAGCACACTTGATCACCTTTGCAAAGCCTTTGCCTTGCTGTGAGATCACTAACACACAAAGACAATATCCCTTGGAGAGTGCAACAACAGCTATTTGATGGAGCAACAACCTCCTTTCTGCCCAAAGTGCCTCTTGGATGGTGAAATGCTTGGCACTTCCAACCACTGGAGAAGAGAAGGTTGTGTGGAGCCCTCAGAGCACCTTCCAGTACCTGAAGGGGCTCCAGGGAAGCTGCAGAGGGATTCTGTGTTAGGAACTGCAGGGACAGGAAAAGGGGGAATGGATTCAAATTGAAGGAGGGGAAATTTAGATTAGGTCTTAGGCAGAAGTTTTCCCTGTGAGGATGGTGAGACACTGGCCCAGGTTGCCCAGGGAGGCTGTGGCTGCCCCAACCCTGGCAGTGTTCATTCCAGGTTGGATGAGCCTTGAGCAACCTGCTCTGGTGGGAGGTGTCCCTGCCCAGGGCAGGGGGGTGGGGCTGGATGATCTCTAAGCTCCATTCCAACCCCTAAAATTCTATGATTCTATGACTTCCATCAACCCCAAACATTTCCCTCTCTGGTGCCACCCTCACTGTCTAACCAGTCCCTCAGACACTGAACCCTCCAAGGTGCTCAGGTGACACCAGAAGGCAACAACTGCAGTGTCCCCAGGGCCCAGATTTTTTTCTGCAGCTTTTCTGCATTGCGATGAATTCCCTGCTTAAGTTGCATCCTGCTGCTCCTCGTGCCAACCCCAAGCCCTGGCTGCTATTGAGCAGGAAAAGCTGCTCTGTAACAAAGTAAATTGCATTGTGTTGCAAATGTAATTCTTCAGGCAATACACGAACCTCTGTATTGCTTGCTGTCTGCAAATATATATATACGTGGGGTTGGTTTTTTTTTTTCCTGCAAGTGCTGCCAGGGCTGGCAAAAAAATATGCATTAAATCTCCAGCCTCTCTAACAAATGGAAAAGAGCTGAACTGTTTATCAGAGCCAAGTCCTCGAGACAGGAGCAGTCAGCTATTGGCACACAGTGCACAGGCTAATCCTGAACAACCCTTGCCCCAAACAACAGTCAGGATTTCTCACTCACTATGTCCAAGGCCAAGTTGCATGGGGATTGGAGCAACCTGGGCTAGTGGAAGGTGTCCCTGCCCATGGCAGGGGGTGGAATGAGATGAGCTGTAAGGTCCTTCCAACCCAAACCATTCTGGGACTCTATCTGCACTCCAAGCTTCAGCACAAGGCCCTACCAGTAGTAGACTGAAGATTCAGAAGAATCTGTGTTTGTATCTAGCAAAAAATCTGTGATCAAACCAAAATCTCCTAACTGGTGTCAGAGCCTTGTTTAAATACACTGCCTCCAAACACCAAGGAGGTGATGCTTTCCCTGCAGATCTGAGAGCAGGGAGTGAGGCTGCCACAGGAGAGAAGGAAAGGACCATGGTGCTCCTCTGCCCAAATGGGAACTGAGAAGTGGGAACAGAAAGTGACTCAATTTTACACACACAGGCCAGGACAGTGATATAAAAATACAGACAAACAGTCAACCATCAAATATACCTGTCAAGAATCATAGGATCATTGAGGTTGGATGAGACCTCTAAGATTATCAAGTCCAACCATTAACCCATCACTGCTCTAAACCCTAAACCAGATCCTCCAGTGTCAGACACCTCTTAAACACCTCCAGGGATGGTGACTCCACCACCTCCCTGGGCAATATCCCAATGCCTGAACACACTAACAGGGAAAACATTTCTCCTAACATCTACTCTGTCTCTCCTCAAGGCCATTCCCTCTGCTCCTCTCCTGCAGGCACAGCAGGAGCCACCAGAAGTCCCACGGGTCGCTCTTACCGGAGTCGTGCTGCTTCCCCCGTAGAAAGTGACCTCCTCCCAGGTGACAATGAAGATCCAGATGGCAGAGAAGGAGGCCATGTCCTTGAAGTGCTTACGGATGTCCTTGGAGGCTCTCCTGAGCAGCTCGGGGTCCGTGCTCTCGCGGTAGTAGATCTCCCCGCGGATGCCGTTGTGCACGTCCGCCCAGAACGGCGCCACGAAGGCTCTGCCATCCGTCAGGGGAAAGGCCTCTGGTGTGAACTGGCTCACGAGGGCATTGAAGGAGATCACACCGTTGTTGTTGACCTGCACACCACCAAAAGATCCATGTTGTTTGAGTATAACCTTTGCCAGGCAGAACAAAGCTGATGGTTTAGCAGAAACGTGAGGTGAGAGGATTGGGGTCTCTTGTGAGGCTCCACCTGGAGCACTGCACATAGTTCTGGTGTCCACAACATGAGAAGGACATGGAACTGTTGGAGCAAGGCCAGCGGAGGCCATGAAACTGATAAGAGCATTGGAGCAGCTCCCCTACAAGGACAGGCTGAGGGAGTTGGGGCTGTTCAGCCTGGAGAAGGTTGTGTGGAAACCTCAGAGCACCTTCCAGGATCTGAAGGGCTCCAGGGAAGCTGCAGAGGGACTCTGTGTTAGGAACTGCAGGGACAGGACAAGGGGCAATGTGGATAAACTGAATGAGGGAAATTTAGATTAGGCATTAGAAAGTATTTTGGTGGCCAAGGGCTGATGCAGGAAGCCCCAGAAGCAGGACAAATCCCCCAAAAGTCTGCAAAACAGGGATCTACAGGCCAGCACAGGAGCAGGAAGGCCTCATGGTGCCATCAGGTTTTTACCCAATCTTTGGAGAGCAGCTCTGCAGCACTGAGACACTTGTTTTTACAACACTGGTGGCTGCATGGCATGAGGGCTCCCAGGAAAAAGAATTACCTTTGGCTATGTCCTCTGTGACAGATCCTGGAGCTCCCCAAGAGCAGTGAGACACAGAGTGCCACCACAGCCTCTCCTAAGTCTGCTGGAGATGCTCCCCTAAACAAGTTACTTCTGCAGGGTGTGCAGAGCAAGTGGCCCTGCTGTCCTGGAATCTCCCAGCACACAAGGGTCTGAAATCCCCTCAGGTTTCCTCCTTTCCCCTTTTTTCCCCCTTGCAGGTCTCTCTGCATGTTCTTGTTTCTTGTCATGTAACAGGACTAATATCCCTTGTGTCAAGCCCTTAGCTTTGCTGCACCATTTAATCACCTGCAAAGCAAATTTATTGCCTTTTATATTCCTTTCCCGTGAACATTATCCCATTAAATATACCTTTGACTTTCTTAATCATAAAACCTATCACTTCATGAAGTCTAAGAACTTGTCAAGTAGCTGCTAATAAATCTTCCAATTTCTGATGACAGGGAGAGTGTGTTTAAAATGCAGCCAACTAATGGCAAGGAGAAGATTCAAGGGAAGGTCTATTTCTCCACTTACATAAATGCTTCTGTATGGGGCTCCAAAAAAGATGAAGGGGACAGAGATCCTGATTTCAGGAGAGCTTCCATCATCAACTTTGGGTGTCTTTGTGTCATTCTGCCAGAATGGATACAGACGTGCCATGGTGTGAGCTGGAAGGAGAGGAAGAAGAGAGTCCTTAGGGCAAGCTCAGGACTTTTAGAGATTCCATAGGAAAACAGCTCCAAAACTCAGCACTGCCAACAGCCAAAGGATGTTTCAAGCCAGGGCAGAGGTGCTGGCTCTGGAACTGGCTCTGGGACAGGGTCATGAGGAGAAGCATCATCCAGATCAGTGACAAAGTTAGGGCAACAGCAAACCCAAGATGTGTGTCAGCTCACAGCTACACATTTTGCCTTCCATGTGGCTCTCATCAAGTCCTAACACCTATGTCTTGCTTCAGTTGGGACAAAAATGACAACAGGTCCATGCCCCCCTACTCCAGGATGGGTAAGACTTGCTGTTGAAGACAGTGAGGTGCTCAGGGGAGCAAACAGGACCAATATCAGCCCCCAGAGCCACACTCCTGGCAGATTCCACCTTGCAGAACCCTCCCAGGTACCACCAACAGACCCCCCAGGGCTCCTGGTGCAGGTTACAGCCTGAAGTGTCACAGCTGCTCCATCATTTCCCAACAAAACTAAGTTTCCTGCTAAAAGGCACTGCCACTGAACCTAATTTTCTCTCCTAAAAATCCTTCAGAAGTTGGTTTGGACATATTTCCATACAAGCCTCCAGCCTAAAATCCATCAGCTTGAGGCACCACTGGCCCCAGGGAACACATCCTTTCCTGCCCCAGCCCTGACAGATCTCTGCTGTCATTTCATGTCCTGTTTCTCCAGTTAGCTACTGCTGTGGCTCCTCACAGAGCAAACGAACATTTTGCTGGGTTTTCCTCCCTTTTCTCCCCTCTTTGAGGCAGAAAACCTGTGCCCTGTCCTCACAACATTCAATCTTGGCTGACATGAGCCCATGAGCTCTGAACAATCCCAGCTCTGTTTGCCTGGATTCAGGACATGCTTTTATTTCCTGGGCATGGCCCTGAGCTGTTCAGGGGCCTCCAGCCAAGAAAAACTTGCTCTGTGCTCCTGTTATGGACACAGGAGGGTGATGCCCAACCCAGGGGATACTCTGGCCCTGCTACCCTGAGGATGCTCCATGCTGGAAACTGCCTGGGAGTAAAGAGAGTCACTGACTGAGCCTTCACAGGCTCAACTGCTCCAAGTTTCTTTGGGGAAAGGGAGACAAGACCTGGCCTAACCCACTGGGACCCTGATTTCCTAAGACATATGTGTGGCCTGAGTGCCTGGTGGACATAAAGGGAGATGGAATGTGGCAATGTTTGAGCCACAAACCTGTTCCCACAGACATATCCAAAGGGCCACAGCACAATTCCTGCCTGCCAGGTAGTAAAGTAAGTCATTTCACAGCTGTTACACCCCTGACAAGTTATTGCAGCTGAAGCACAGCGACAAGACATGGATTTTACTTCTTCTTTCAACAGGAAACTCAGCAAACACTCCTCAATTCTTTTCTACTAGAGCCATACTACCACACCTGCTCCCCAGAAATCTTTCAGACTCCTATTTTGTAGCACACAACTCTGGGATGTGCACACAGAGCTATACAAATGATACACACAAGCATCCCTTAAAATCTGCAGTCCCTCCACATGGGAACCACTCAGTGCACCCTGATTCTTATCCTTGCTCCAGCCAAGGGGCTGGGTGTGTTTTCCAAGCCCTTTGGAGTCTCTAGGCACAGCACAGCTGGGGAATTTTGGTCTCCCAGCACCCAAGCAGGATATACTCACCTCTCTGCCGAGCTGTTAGCACCAAAAGGGCCACCCAGGCTCCCAGAAACTTGTTCATCCTGCAGGAAGGAAAGAACCCCAGAAATGCATCACATCAGTAGGAAAACATCCTTGAGGATCCCCTGGGTGAGATGCCAAGCACTGGTGCTTCCCACAGCTGCCCAACTGCTGCTAACACAGGGATGTTTCGGAGGTCTCTCACCTGCCACACAGACCTGGAATGTCAGTGCCATGAAGTGCTGTGATGGGAATTCCCTGGAGATGACATGGCCAAAGGAAGCCCTGAACCACAGGGAAGAGTTGCTGCTAGTTTCACATGGTGTTTGGAAGGTGTGAATAGCCCTGGCTCTCTCTGGGCTCTTCATTCTCCTTAGGGTTCAAAAGCAATTCCTCCCTGATGCATTTAGTGCAGGGATGGATGCTCCTGCCTGATTCCAAGGGGAGCAGCTCTGCACTGCTCTGAATGGGAGATCTGTGGTGTGCTCTCATGGTCGAGGGGCTTCAGCCACCACAACCATCACTTACTGGTTTGGATGAGCATGGAAGAAGCACAAACATTTACACAGCTGGGCAACTCCTTGCTGTACAGCAATCAATGGGAGAGAGAGAGCTGGGAAAATGAAAGGGAAATCCTGTGCCAGCTTTAATTCCTTCTGTGCCTAATGCAATTTGTTACTCATTATTAATCCAATAGAAAATATTGCTGGAACACCTGCTTTGATTTCTTCACCCTGTTCGTTACACACACGCTTGGATCACACATATCCAAAGGAAGGGCTCCCAGTCAGAAAGGGATGTGAGCAGCTTCACACACAAACTACAGCTGTGCATTATATACAGCCTGAGTGGCAACAACAGCCTCTGCACCTTCTCAGCTGTGTAAATCTGCCTACAAAACTCAGAGACTCTTTGTGTCCTCCCTATAGATGTTTATATAGTACGTGTGGATCGACAGATCCAACTCCTCCTAAGTTCTATCACAGACACACAGAGCACACAGGGAGGAACATCCCATCATCTGTCCCACATCACTTCCACTTGATTCCCATTTCTGGAAGCCCAGAAAGCATGAAACACAGTGGAAAGAAAGTTCCTCCCTGTTCACTGCTCCTCAGTGTGCTACTCACATCAACACTGGTCACGGTTTGCTTCCAGCAACTCCATTCTCCATGGAGAAAAAAAAGGAAAAATTTTACCACATTCCCTCTCTTGGAAAGAGGAAGGAATTTTCTAAATCTGAGTTGCTGTGGATGCATGAGCAGAGTCCAGGCAGACAGGGAGACTAGGGCAGTCCAAGGGCAAGAGCGAGACCAGTCCAGGTAGAAACAACAGCCCATAAAGAACACATTCCCATTCCAAACTATGAATTTTTAAAGGAAAAAAAATAAAGAAATTACCTGTTTTGAAGACTAGAGGAGCAAAGAGGTCTGAAATTTTAGACCAAGCTTGGTAGAGCAGGGCGAAATCCTATGTCAATGGAGAATGCATGCCGGTCCTGCCGGGCCAATCTCGCTGATGGCTCAAGTCCTTTGCTCTCCCAATTGAAAACTCCCTCTCTTCCAGTGCTGGAGCAGTGTTGAGTTGCAATCACAACTGTTGCTTCTATTGATAACCAGAAAGCTAATCTGAAGATCAGATTCTGGCCTGGAGAAGGAGAGAAGCCTCTTTCTTCCCCCAAAGCTCAATCCCCCTTCAGGTGGATTGAGATGGAAATGTCAGCGCGTCGGAGCTGGGCTCACTGCTGTGCTGCTCAGGGAAAAGAAAACCCAACCCTCAGAAGAATTGAGCCCCTTCCTCCTTTGTGTAAGGGGAAGAAAAAAAAAAAAGCCCATCTATATAATGTTACAGGATTAGCATTAGACAGTGCTAGGCTTAAAGCACCGTTCAAAGGAGCTGCCCTGAAGTTTCCATGGAGTTACTTTGCCATCCAGGTCTTGCTTTATTTTCTGCTTTTACAGGTGGGAAAGGAAAAACTCACCCAGTCCAGTGTGCTCTCTCCAAACCTGCCAGGGAGGGTTTCCTTGCTGTTCCTTTCACCCTCTGAGGAAGGACTGGCTGTGGTGGGGAGTCTCACTGGGGCACTGCTGTGTGCATTACTATTGTGCCATTCCCACAGGGATTTTTCCTGCCTCTGGTATCTGGATTTGCTAGATACATGACTCCCTTGAGGGGTAAAATAAAAGCATGGGCTGCAGGTGGAGCTGAGGTGAGCTGACCAAAGCTCTGCCTTTGAGCCCAAGCTGTACAGATTTCAACAATGCTTTGCTTTGGTTCACATTCATGTCTGATGAGAGAGGGAGAAGTGGAGGAGCAGCTGAGGGTGAAGGATGCCATCAGCAGAGCCATGGCAGAGCTCATTTCACAGCCTGTATCAAGGCTCAGGTAAGGCAGGCAATGCTCCAAGCCCAGCAGTCCACAGTGAGAAAACAGCCTAACCACACAGCCTGGTCTTGGCAAAAGAGTTTTCCCTTCTCCCTTTTTGGGTAGGGGACTCTTCCTCCCTATTTCCCCTGCCAGGATGTAGTTACTCCTCTTGCACTCCCTGTACACCCTCTGCCCACCTTTCATCAGGAGCAGAGGGCACAGGAGTGCCAGCAGCCCAACAGGGAGCCCCAGGAAGCCCAGACTCTTTTTCCCAGGACCCTGTGTGCTCCCACAAGTGTGTTTAGGAAGTTCACCCCCACAGTGCTGCAGCTTACCTCAGCAGTTTGTCAGCACATCAGGGCACCAGGCAGCACACCTCCTCCTCCACAGCAAATCCCAGTTTGCTGCCTCTCTCCTCCAAGGAATCTTTCCTTTTTATTTTTACCCTTTTCTAAACCTGCAGCTATTTCAGGAGGGCAGAGGATATCAGCACTGACTGATATTCCAGGGGCAGATTACTCCCAGCCTGCCACTCTGTGCATCTTGGCTCTTCACTCCCATACAAATTTCAAGCACTACCAGCCACAGGAAAATCAATTGACTCTACTCATTCTGTTTTGTAACACAGGGAAAACTGGTGAAAATAGTTTTCCCTCTGCTCCGTTGTCAGTTTAATATTCTGGTCCTGTTTGTCCTGGGCAAGTGTACACTGATGAAGTTTGATTAGGTTTCAGTGTCTCTTTGGGGAAGATTTTGTCTTCCAGGCTATTTTCTTTTGGCAGGGGATGTTCCCATCATGCAGTGCTGAGCACATTGGAGCTGAACAACCAACCACTTCTTCTAGCAGAAAACTTCCTTCCATGCCTGACCTCAAGAGAAAACAAGCATTAAAAGATGAGACAAAGGGTTCTCTGGCTGCTTGACCTTGGCAGAGCAACCACAGGCAGTGCCTTGTCACATTCCCATTTCAAGGGAGCTGGCACAGCCCATGGAAAAGACTTGGCAAAGGGTTTGCCTAGGAGCTGTGGCCCATCTGGAGGAGCATCTCCCTCCTCCTGCCTCTCCCCAGGGTCACTCAGTGCAGGTCATGGGGGTAAAACCTGTTTGAACCCCAAGCCTAGTCCCATTGAGGACACTGAGTAGGTAACAGGGTGAGTTTTCTTATTCCTCACCTGGAAGCGAAGGCAAGTCAGAGTCATGGAGAAATACAGTCCAGGAGAGGACTTAGGTCTTCCAGCTCTGCACCAAGTGACATCTCTGGCAGGAGAGGTGGCTGTGCCCCAGCTCAGGGGGCACAAACAGCAGCACAACCCGATCTCGGCAGCGTTGGCTCCACCCAAGGTGTGTTAAGAGTGTGAGACACAAGGAAACACTTAGCTTCAGGCAACACAAAAGTGCAAAGCTCAGGACACTTTGGTTTTGGGTTTTTTTTTGTGTAAAAACTTCCATAAGTTTATTGAACTGATCCAAACCAATTACCTATTTGGCCTGAATTCCACCGCTAAGTCTGCGAGCAAACCAAAGGCAAATCGTGGGAGAGGGAAGGACATTCCCCAGGAGAGAAACCAGGATTTAAAAAAACCAGATGGACTTCCAGTTCTTTTTTTTTTTTCGCTTTGAAATTACATAGGGATGTATCATTACTAGGGAGCAAGAACAGATCTTCATATTTAAATCATGTTTGAAGTTTGCAGTAAGTGCAGAAAAGCAATCACAGAGGCAAAGGCCTGAGATGGCTCAGGCCCCGAGAATGTTGCTCTGGGGAAGGTGAATCTCTGCTGCCTAGGAAAGTGCCACATTCGAAACAAGGGAGGCACAGCTGCCAGGAATACATATTTCAGCCTCTGGGCTGCTTTCAGCACCTCGTTTGCATTTTCAAATCTGCACAGAACCCGACAGAATCTCACTGACAGGAGGAGGCAGAGCTGCCGCGGCACCTTCTTCGAGTTCCAGACCTGAGGAGAAGAGGGCAAAGCAGAAACTTTCCCCAGCAGCAGCCCCTCCAGGCCACTGTGGGCTACTCTCTCACCTGCCACCAGGCTGTGTGCAGCTCCCAGCCAAAGGGGTGACAAACCCCAGCGAGGCAGCAGAGCACAACCACCAGGCCATGCACGTTCAGAGCCTCCACCTGCCTGCAACAGCTGGTCAGAACATGGATAGTCAACAGGAACATCTCCAAAAACAACAACAGCACAGCAGCTAATCTCAACACAGGGAGCTGTGTGACACTTTGGTATATAGCTGTCCCCTAATTCCTGGTGAACCAGGTGCTTTGCCCACTTTGCCTGTGGCAGATTGTTACGCGTGAACTGGCAGGAAGAACAGAACAGTTCTTGACAAAAGGAGCCCTGGGATGAAAGGACACAAAAGCTAGGGAAGCTTCAAAATCTATGTTGTTTTCTCCAAGGAATGTGACAGACCCAAAGAGATTTGCTGATGTGGGTATGTGCTGACAGCACAGGGACTCAGACCCTCCTGACACTGCAGTGACCTCAATCCAACCTGCCACGTCAGGACCCTGATGGATTCTCAGTGTCCACTGTTGGCCCCAAATCTCCTCTCCTGCTCAGAGCCCTTCTCTCTCCCCAAGATGTGATCCCCTGTTAACATGGAACACACACACAAAACCCTTTCCCAAAAGGTATTACAAAAGGAAAGTGAATTGGGGTAATTTGCCACATCAGCTCTGTGCCA